TGTGTGTGTGTGTGTGTGTTGGGGGGGGTTCATGCGTGTGTTTGTGCCTACAGTAGTCACCGCGACAGCGACACATTATAGAGTCGGTGTTAGCACGTCTTGTCTCGGTCGTAGATCTAGTTCTAGTCTCGCCGTGTCGTGTCTTCTGCTTTCAGGCCGACTCCGGTTGTCAGATGTGTGAGAAGATGGTGAGGGGCGTCACCGTACTTCTGGACAACAAGTCGACAAAGGTACCGTCGCGTCGCATCTTTCCCTCGCGCGACCCCTAACCGTCCCTTCCGCTCGCTTGCTTTCAGCTGCTGGACGCGACGGCAATTATATCGGACTGTCAGTACTGTAAGTTCCTGATATCTGTCGTACGCCTCATGCTGACCGGCCGAGCGACCGAGGTAACTAATGCTATTGCCTCGATCGTAGCGCTCGCGCATATTGTGGGAAAATCGACTCCTCTACTTGTCTGAATCTTAGTACTTACACTGTCGCATTTAATATGCACACGTCGAAAATCTTAAATGAAAATGACTACTACGTTATTCGTTGGTGGAGGTATTGAAACGGTTAGGTTAATGGATAATGTTAAACACACTGATAGGTGGTGATGGCTATGGTTATTCCTCTAGAGTTGTTATATAAGCTGCTGGTAACCTCTCGGTTAAAAGTAAGCGTAGTATAGTAGGTGTTATAAGTGTTCGTCGATTGTAACATGGCACAGACAATCTATTGTTTTATTATGCATTCAGTTTAACAATAACTTTTATAGCAGTTACATAGAACATGTATACAAAGTAAAACCGTAACTGCGTAAAATTTTGAAAGTTGTTTTAGTGCTACTAGAGCTTTAGTAACTTAAAACTTGGTGAAAATATGAAAGTAGGTAAATAATCCTCAAAAACTGTTTAAAAAAATTTATTTGTAAGAACGAATTTTTTTATAAGAAGTGTAAGTAATTTTTTATAAGGATTTTTTATGAGGATAATTTGTTGTAAGTAATTTGTTATAAGGAGGGCTAAGGAGTAAAGAGTGAACTAAATGCTGTATTCTGTACTTTAAAGGGTGAGATTCTGAAGTATATGGAGAGGGCATGCACTGGAGCGCAAACTGCAGAGGGAGTAAGAGCGGTAAGTTGAACAGCCACATTCATCCTTCCTATCCCACGCCACATTGTTTACTCGCAAGGAGTGGTAATTAAAAATTGAAAGATAAGTGTTTCTCATCGTAAATAACGCTTGCTGTGCAGTTTTCTGATTAATTAACTAACATCGTCTTGAATTAAAGTTCAATAATGGGTAT